GGTTTTGCCTTGTCAGCTACTGACAGACCAGCCGACTAGGAGCATGTGACAGCAATTCCCCAGGTGCAGTTAAAGGGGTCTTCTCCTGTGTGGTTTGGACTGGTGTTCTTGGGGATCTAAATAAACACCCTGAGGTAAATGATTTCCCCCCAGCCTATTGCTGTGTGTGGATCCCACGTGGGAGTTATATTAAGCAACGGTCACATGTTTTGCTGCTCCTAATGGGGCTGTATGGGCCTGCGCAAGCATCACCTGCTACTTTCAAATCTTTAAGTTATTTTGCATGTAGCTCTCGAGTCTGTGAGGACATCATGTTACCAATTATGGCCACAGGGGCAATGGAGAGACCAAAACAGCACAAAACGCTAGTATTTGTCCCATGTATGTCAGAGCATAGGCCCACTGCATGTGTCGCTGGTTAAATGGAGCAGCTGGTAGCCTACAGGCAACTGGGGTAAAGTGGTTACTGTTGTGTGCAGACAGGGGTGTAATGGAGAAAAGTGAGGCAGTGTTGGGTCATTTTACCTATGGATGCATGGTCTCTAGCAATCCAATGTTTTACCAGACTAGGATTAATGTGGAGTGAATGGGACCTAGATATTTTTTAAGTACTCTATTTTTATTCCTTTATTCCTATTATCTCATCTCAGTGAGCATTCCTTTGTCTTTCTGCATCGTTTACTACTTGTTTTGCTCTTTTGTTGGACATACAACCTAAAGGTGTAAAAAAAATTAAAATAAAATAAAGGTGTCTATATGTTCTAGTACATCTGTGCAGAAGCAACTTACTTTATACAAGTCTTACAACCTCACTCAGTAGAGTCTTCTAAACAGATAAAGCTTTACATGATAGTTTAAGGAATTTCTTGAATGTTCATAATCTTCAGGCAGTTGCGCATTCATGTGAGCTTGCCTGACATCCACCAGTGCCACTTTAAAAATGGGATTTTTTTCTTTCACTGCCCAGTTTTGTGGATACATTTTACCTCCTGCTGCCTGCACTGTGACCAAAGGATGTGGAGAAAAACACGGCCTGAGATTACTGCATGTCCAGGAATGTTCCTGTACAGGACCCCCTGCAGCAGTCAATGCTCCCCTAAAGCACATCTTTTTATTTTGACTGCTTGAGGCCAGTGTGTCTACCACATGTGATGTGTTGCTGGTTAACAAGCAGATTAATAACTCATGATGTCATTGTTGGTGCAACAATATTTGTTGGAATTAATTTCACTACTTTGGAACTGTATCTGGTCGTGTTGGGGAAGACTCAGTGACCAATGGCTAGATTTACCAACCTTGGAGCTACTTGAAAGGGAGTGATGTTTCCACTACTCAGTGGGACTAAAGGGTTAAGTTTTAGAAGAGGGAAAAAAAAACAAAAAAACAAAACACACAACACTACACACACATTGCCTGTCTGTTAATACATTGTTTCTGTAATGTTAGAGAATTATTGTAAAGCAGGAGAAGTTACTATGTCTGCATTATGCCAGTTAAAATATAGGGTTTCCCCAATTACCCACTTTGTTTAGAGTGTTACAAATCTCTTCATCGGTACATATACCATTGTTTGGTTATTTATGGAAGAAAAATTCAAATTAATTGGTATGTTGTGCTGTCCACTTTCAGCACAACACCGGCAGCAAGACTTGTGTGGGTTCACAAACTATCCTTTTGTTCTGAAATAATTAGACTATTTGGAGTTATGATGGGTGCAAAGCTAATCTAGAGGTACCCAAGATTAAACATTAAATAGCTGGAAATGAAAAAGAACTGTTTACAATGTAATCTCTACAGAGATTCTGCAACATCCATAGAATTTACTCTGTGTCATAGGTTTGTTTTCCCACTATTGTAATTCCTACGAAACTACAAATACAGTTATGTTGAGAGAGTCACTGTATGGATACCCGAGTTGTAGCTGCGATAGATATAGGAGAGGCTCTGCTGTGTATCTCGTGTGGGAAGTGTCAGTTACATAGCACCACTTTTTGTCATAGTTAAAGTAACTGGTTTGTCAAACCTAAATATATTATTAAGCTCTGAAAACAGCAGACCTATGAGTGTGACCATGTGTTGTGTACTACCTCTATTGAACAATAAATCTCAATCATATAGGTAGGATTAGTTTTTTTGCTCTTGTCACACCTGTTAATGGTAATGTAATAATGTAGGTGGGGGGTGGGTTCTTACGATTAGGGAGGGTCCAGAGGATTCGGCAGAACTAAACATTTAAATTCAAATAACTACCAAATTTGAACAAAACAAAACAAAATAGACCAACTTATTTTCACACAATATGAATTTTGTTGAGAATCACCTGTATTGACAGCATATGTCAACAAAATTCTGTGACTGTGTTCAGCTAAAAAAAAAAAAAAAAAAAAAAAAAAAAAAACCATAAAACAAATTGTGTGTAGTTAAGAGGATGAGAGGAGCTGGCTTGATTGGGACATGAATAAAGGTAGATTAGACTCCACCTGCCCATGATGCATTCATCCCTATAATAATGTATTCCACCTCTCCTCCACAATGTGCACCATAATGCCTGTTGGCACACAAAAATACACTGCCCTTGGTGGTCACCAAAACAACAATATGCCTGGAATTTAGACACAGGTTTACCACTGTGCCCTTGCAAAAAGATCGAACCCTTAATCCTTATTTTCAATGGATTCTGATGTGAAAAGTGATTGGTAGACCCATATGGGTACCAGTACAATGCGATTTTTATAACATTTGGTTATAATAGCCAATCACAGTGAAAAAAAAAAAAATCTCAAAAGTGCCGTTAGAAAAATGTTTAAGAATCATATTTAATCATGATGATCACAAGTCTGATTTTGGATTTATCATACCTGATAACCAATGCAATGCTTCAAAATGTGCTTGTTCCAAACTATGACTTCCAAAACATGAATAGTGGTTGTCACTGTCATGTTTAAAAAAAAAACAAAAAAAAACCTTCTCTATCAGACAACAACATGCTGCAATGATGTTCACATAAGAGTAGGCATAACAATGACATTCAATATATTCAAATGAAATGAACCATATACTGTATAAGACCAATCAGCCCCCCAGATCATTTCCAAAGGAGTAATAGTACCATGTATGACTGACATGTGGGAAATACAATGATATGGAAATTATTCAGACCCCTTTGTTTTCCAGGTTTTATGTTTCAGACTCATCTTAAAGTGGGTCCAGTTTTATTTTTTCCTCAATCTACATACAATACTCCACAATGATAAAGTAAAGAGGTTTTTGAAGTGTTTTCCATCCATCCATTATCTATACCGCTTAGTCCAGAACTAAGGGACTGGAGCATTGGGGGGCTGGAGCCAATCCCAGCTGACATCGGGCGAGAGGCAGGGTACACCTGGACAGGACGCCAGTCTATCACAGGGCTGACATTCAGACAAATAACCACACACACGGGCAATTTAGATTCACCAATCAACCCAAGCGGCATGTCTTTGGACTCTGGGAGGAAGCCGGAGCACCCAGAGAGAACCCACGCAAACTCCACACAGAAAAGCCATGAACCTGGAACCTTCTCGCTGTGAGGCAACAGCGCTAACCACCATGCCACCGTGCTGCTCCATAGGAGTGTTTTGTAAATTTATTAAAAATAAAAGACCAAAACTGTTGTCACTAGTCCTATTAATGGTTGAGATGCTTCTACAGCTTGACTAGAGAGTCCACCTGTGCCTAAATTATTGCAGTGGATATAACTAGGAAAGGCACACACCTGTCTGTATAAGGTCTCACAATTAATGGTGTATGTCAGAGTGAAAACAAAGCCATGAGATCAAGAGCACTGTCGACAGACCTGCAAGACAGGATTGTGTCAAGGCACAGATCTGCAGAAGTATATGAGAAAATTTCTGCAGCATTGAAAGTACTCAAGAGCACGGCAGCCTCCATCTTTCTCAAATGGAAGAAGTTTGGAATCACCACCAGTCTTCATAGATCTGGTCTCCCAGCCAAACTCAAAGGTCACTATGAATGAGATCCAGAGTCTCTTTCTGGAGATGGGAGAACCCTACAGAAAGATAACCATCAGTGCAGCACTCCAATTAAAACTCTATGGTAGATTGGTCAGACAGAAGACATTCCTCTCAAAGACATGACAGCCCACTGGGAGTTTGTCAGAAGCCACCTGGAGGACTCTCAGACCATGAGAAGCAAAGTCCTCTGGTCTGATGAAACAAAGACTGAACTATTTCGACACAATTCCCAATGGTGTGTGTGTGTGTGTGTGGAGAAAACCAGGCACTGAGCATCACCTCATCCCTACAGTCAGACCACAGTGGTGGCAGCATCGGGCTGTGGCAACTGGGACTGGGAAACTAGTCAGTATAGAAGGATGGATGCAGAAAAATATAGAACTATTATGAATTTAAACCTTCTCCAGAGTGCTTACGATCTCAGGCTTGCTGAAGGTTTACACTTCAACAAGACATCGACCTGAAGCCTAACACCATGATAACACAGGAGTGGCCTCAGGAAAGCTCTGTGAAGGTCCTGGAGTTGCCCAGCCAGAGTCCAGACCTGAACCCAATACAGCATCGCCGGCTGTGCACCAACGCTCCCCATCCAACCTGGTCGACCTTAAATGATTGTCTTGAAGAATGGAGAAAATTCCAAAAGAAAGGGGCCAGGTTTGCAGCGTCATTCTCAAAAAGACTTGAGGCTGTTGTTGCTGCCAAAGGTGTTTTAATAACCAAGTACTAAGTGAAGGGTCTGAATACTTATGTAAATGGGCCATTTGTCTTTTGTTTACAATAAATGTACAAAAACACCCTGAAAACCTGTTTTCACGTTATCATTGTGGAATATTCTGTGTGGACTGATGAGGAAAAAAATTAATTGAATTCATTTTAAGATAAGTCTAAGACATAACTAAATGTGAAAACTTTCCATACCCACTCTAGTCATAAAACCTGTGTTTACAGTATATCTGATTAGAGCATGTTTAATCAGCTGTAACTCACTGATCTCCAGCTGTCGGGCAATTCGTCCTTTGCTCTTATCTCTGAAATCAACTTGAGCCTCATTGTAGTTTGTCATCACCTCCACAAATTTCTTAGCCAGGATAGCATGCTGGGGAAAATGAAAATGCAGATGTCCAATTAACTGACTTTAATATGTAAGTAAATGTTTAATGACAGTCAAAGAAATACATCAGTGTAGACTGGAGGTTGTTGTTTGTTCTGTATACATACATACACACACACACACACACACACAGTTTTAATCTTATAAACACTGCATATGAAGCTTTTGCACAAGTTCAAGCACCTCTTTGGTGTTTATAGTTTGGTGTATGGAAATGCATTTTACCCATCTTAGTCCAACATATTTAAATTTCATTACTTATGTCATGACAGTTCAGGTTGCCTTGCAGCTCACCGTCCTCCACCCCACCACTACCAGCATCAAAGCTCTTTCAAAAGCAGGAGGGATATTCAGCTTCACTGTTACTCACTGGGCTTCAACTCTCTGCATGTACGTATTCCTGATGGAGTGATGCCAAATTTGTTTAAGTAAAATGATCCCATACTTACAAATTTGTGTCTTTCCTGATTGAGCGCATTGATGGTTTGAGAAGGCTCTGTGCTGGCACTGCAAACCATTGTAAAAATATTGAATATTCCTCCTACATTTTATTCATGCCAATGTTTAAGAGCCTCTGCAAAAACATTTAAGCTGCCAATCCAACACTGAAACATCATAATTGAAAAACAATGTACTTGTTTCTAACTCGCAAGCAAAATTACCCACATAGCAGGATATACTAAGGATTTGCAGCTCATTTTCTGGTGCTAAACAATGAAATTGTGTTAATAATTACTAAGGGGTCACAGTGGGGCTTTGCAGCAGAGAAACAGAAGAAATATTGCACTGCAGGAATGTGTGTCTTGGTCTTATACAATATGTTTTTTTAAGGTGCTCCCATTTGGGGATGTAAAACATCAGTGGAGAGCAAGGAAATTTATACCCTCAGTGCTTCATTTACCATCACTGTGGCTGAAATTTAACATCATGAGAAGGCATGTATAAAATTTGAATGTGGTCAAGTGTGCCATGGATTGCAAAAACCCCAGTTATGCGAGATACCATACGAGTTTTGTTGCACTTCTTTTTGTGCAATTGCGGTACAGATGCTGTGAGTGTTCAAAATGGATGTTTAAAAAAAATCTGGCTGACTATTTAGGCAATTGAATGTCAATTAATTATAAAACTGAACATATCAAACACATTGTTATTTTCTATGTTAGGTCTTTGGACTTGGGTCTTGCAGACTCGGACCAGGAAATAGTTCTCATAAAACTCAAATAAACAAGATATATTGAACAAAAGACTATAACTTAGAGGCTCAACCTGACAAAGTAAACAAAAAACAAACAAAAACAAACTAATACTACAACCAAAACAGTTCAGGCAGGGAGCCAGGTGGGTAAATGTAATACATACTCACAACAACAAAACCAAAATCAGAGAAACAAATCATGACTCCTTACAGGCAGATAATCAAAAAAATTCAAAGGAGCAACGCAAAGTAGCTAGGACAGGAAACAAAATGAGAGACGGATACTGAACTTACAAGTTGCTCTGCAGGGTGTGGTGAATGGTAAGGAAATAACTGGGTGTAGTGTGCAGGCACGGAGCTCTGTAGGCAGCTGACAGCAAAAGGAAGACAAGAACAGCAGGGTAGGTAGGTGCTCAAAAAAAGATTGGAATACGACACAGGAGGAACAGGTCTCATGAACAGATGCAAGGTGCAGGATACAAGATACAGGATGAACCAGCAAGTGACTGAAAGAAAGCAGGGAGACGACTGTAAAGGCTGAAGACCAGAGGATAATGAGCGACAGGTGCAGACAATGAATGGTGATTAGGACCCAGGGTAAAGCTAGGGTAGGAGAGGTGATATGAAACAGGAAATCAGACCAAAATTATAGCACAAAAACAGGAAGCAAGTCCAAAACCATAACATTCATCCTGCTGTGTCTGTATTTAGGCTTCTTGAAAACACCAATGGACCTATTATACCAGTGGAATTATATTGATAATATGCTTCACTGACTACTGCAGTGCCTTCAGCTAGTGATGGGCAGATGAAGCTTTATGAAGCAATGAAGCCTTTCATCCAATTGGTTCACTCCAGCGCAAAGCTTCTTAAGCTTCATTTGCTCTAGTAGGACATCTACTGGATGCAACAATATCAGTTGGCATGAATTTGAAGTGTGTGGCATTTTGCAGAAAGCCTGTGAATAAAACTGTCAGCAAAATAAAGAAGTATGCAAAACATGTATATTGTAGTGATGGCAGTATACTGTGTATATATATATATACTGGCAGTATGGAAAATGATTATTTGGAAATGATGAAAATGGAAATGATTATTTACAGTGAGGTGAGGGTGGTTGGGGTTGGGGTATGGACAATGACTGTGCTTTTGTAACGTTGAGGTATGGCCAGTGATTATGGTTTAGGGGACACATCATTGGTTTTTATTTAAAAAACAACAGTTTCTCCACTGTGGCAGGTCTTAGGCAATTTCTTTTTCTCCATCAAACACCCACATTTTGAATGGAGCCTGAGGGGTTTATATCGCTGCATCGCGGAAACGCCCCCTCCCCTACTCGGCACACGCTTCGAAGCCTCGATACGGAACGTCACATCACTACCTTCAGCACTTGTTCATCTGTAGTGTGACACATAAAAACACAAATTACTTAAAAGGATGTTTTTTTTCAACACAAATGAAGAATGAGTAATCTGTAAGACAGGAAAGCATCTGGACCCAGGATTTCAAAGATTTAAATCTCAATCAGATTTGGAAAACCAAAGTTTAGTAAGCAGGGTGTACCCCACCTCTCGCCCGCAGCTGTCTGAGATTGGCTCCAGTCCCCCGTGACCCCATTTGGGATTAAGCGGTATAGAAAATGGATGAATGGAAGTTTAGTAAGTCAGGATCAGACAGTTCAGCCAGATTGTGTACCAGTATTTCAAAGCAATTTAGGAAAAGATCACTCAGATCCACATTCAGATTTTTTAAAGATTTCCAGATCCTGAATAACCATCTTTTAATCCCTCTTATTTACACCTTTGTGATGTGAATAATCCGGCCCCCCCTGTGACCCCGCTCAGGGAACAAACGGTAGAAAATGAATGAATGAATGATGGGAATAACAACATAAGAAAGACATACAGTATAGCAGTTCAGATCCATTTGATTCCAAGTACATGATACTGAGTGGTCAAGCAAAGCAAGATGTTATTGTCCACAGTTAGTTCTGAAGGCTGTATTAGGAAAATAAACATAAAGTACTTTTAAATATAGAAATATACAGTGCCTTGCGAAAGTATTCGGCCCCCTTGAACTTTGCGACCTTTTGCCACATTTCAGGCTTCAAACATAAA